TATCGTCCTCTTTTGGAAGGCCAAACAAAGTAGTTTCGCATTCACAACGAAACACACAGCGCCTTCACGACATGATGGCGGCGGCAACAACAATACTACAGTGAGAATAAAAGTTACGCCTTCTTTCTCTGCGTGAACATTTGGGCGGCGTTATGCAAATCTTCCCACATAGTGACGTAGACATGTGGGGGCGTGTTAGAACGAACCGTTTTAGTGAGGGGTGCGCGTGGTTAACTCTTAACTTTTATAAAGAATATCTCTTTGGATTTGAGACTTTAGTCTTTGCAACTTTACAGATCTTCTTTATGCACCAAGAGCTTGTAACACTCCAAAGAGAAAGGAAAAATTTTAATCGCATCATACGACCCCTTTAAAATAACTGTTTTCTATTTGAAAATATTTGAAAATGCAATTTATTCCTGTGATTTCAAAGCTATATTTTTAGCATCATTACTCCAGTCACATGATCCTTCAGAAATCATTCTAATATTCTGATTTGCTACTCAAAAATCATTTATTATTATGTTGAAAACGGCGTAGAATTTTTTCAGGTTTATTTGATGAATAGAAAGTTCAGAAGAACAGCATTTATCTGAAATAGAAATCTTTTGTAACATTATAAATGTCTTTATCATCACTTTTGATCAATTTAAAGCATCCTTGCTAAATAAAAGTATTAATTTCTATAATTTCTTTCCAAAAAAAAGAAAGAAAAAAGAAATCATACTGACTCCAAGCTTTTGAATTAAATAGTGTATAATGTTACAAAAGATTTTTATTCAGATAAATGCTGATCTTTGGATCTTTCTGTTCATCAAAGAATCCTGAAAAAAATTTACTCAACTGTTTTAAATATTGATAATCGGCATATTAGAATGATTTCTGAATCATGTGACACTGAAGACTGGAGTAATGATTCAATGAAAAATTCAGCTTTGATCACAGAAATAAATTATATTTTAAAATATATTCAAATAGAGAGCAGTTATTTTAAATAGTAAAAATATTTCAAAATTGTACTGTTTTTGTTGTACTTGGGATCAAATAAATGTAGGCTTGGTGAGCAGAAGAGAATTCTTAAAAACATTAAAAAGCTTACTGTTCAAAAACTTTTGACTGGTAATGTAGGCTAATTATTCTTATAGATTGAAACAAATGTGCTTTAGCCAGTATAAAGAGTATGAAAAGTGCTCTGAGTTGCTGCAGAAAAAAAATTTGCTACAACAAAAACATGTTGCTGGAGACGTGCTTATTGAAAATGCAAACTGATTGTCTGCCAGCAGGAGGCGCTTTGAGAGTGGTAGATCTAGCGGTTTCTCCAGTAATGGCTGTAATCAAATCAGCTCCGCTCATGAACGCTGCTTTATCAGATCAAATGAAAACGCCATCGAATCTTTTCTGAAGACAGTCCTTTCCCTTCAGAGAAACATTCATATAAAACACCCGCGACCTGCAGTGCTCATGTTTATTCAATGAAATCATATCACCGTTATTGAAAAAAAATTATATCGCGATACATATTGATATTGAATTATTGTCCAGCCCTAATAATATATAATATAATGTAATATAATATAATATAAGTGTTGTTATTGTTAATTGAAACTAAAACAATTTAAAATGGTTTTCGGTAATTTAAATAAAGCTACAAAATAAAATATAAATATTAGATAAAAAAAAGATTAAACTTAAATAAAATTTGCTTTGTGTATAACTAAAAAATAAGTTATAGGGATAGTTCACTCAAAAATAAAAATTACCCGATGATTTACTAACCCTCAAGCCATCCTTGGGTGTATTTGACTTTCTTCTTCTGGATGAATAAAGTCGGAGTTATATTTAAAAATGTACTGGCTCTTCCAGGCTTTACAATGGCAGTGAATAGTGGTCGAGATTTTGAAGCAGAATTAAGTGCATTCATCATAAAAAGTGCTCCACATGGCTCTGGGGGGTTAAAAAAGACCTGATGTGAAGCTATGTGTTTGTAAAAAAAATCCATATTTTAAACTTTATAAACCATAATCTCTAGCTTCTGCTAACTGCCGTACGCACGTTCACGATAGAGTGGCGTTCCAGCGGCTGAAGTAAGACGTAGGCATAGCGTAAGCGGAGAGGAGAAAGCAAAACAAAACACCGGTCATGAATTAGGAGTACAAGACGAGGATTGGTATAGAAAATGACTCTCAAATAGAGACGGTCTTAATTGCTTTCTTATTATGTGAATGAAAAAATGATCTTAACATAAATTTTAATTTCTTTTTCAAGAACCAAAAACAAAGGTTGGGTTTTTACCTAGAGCCCGACCGATATATCGTTTTGCCGATATTATCAGCCGATATGAGCCTGTCGCCGATATATCGGTATCGGCGAATATGCCGCTGATATGAAATTTTTTTTACAGAACATATAACACAGATAAAATGCTTGAAATGGTGTAAATACTTAGTTTGCTACTGGCAACCTGGATGAAACGCTTTAAAGCTTAAGTCTATGGAAAACCATTAAAAATTTGAACGGCCATATCTCCATAACATAATCCGCACCAAATTCGGGGGATCCCTTCAGCTCGAGGAACCCTCTCAAACGCGAATCGAGTATAAGTCTAGAGGCCCGCTTTCGAATGAGACCACCCCCGCGTCGATAGCCCCTGGGGTTCGGGAGTTACGGGTGGTTAAATTTGCGTTCGCGAGATAGTTACACCAGTCAACACTCTAACTTCAGTAACGAGGTCTCTTGTTCAGGCAGCAGCATTCAAGCATTGTCTTATTCGACCGTAAGTGCCCTGCGAAGTGGACTTCACATGAAATTCCGCCATGATTCCAGTTCCAAGGGAACGTACACGTTACATTCAAAGGGCATTAAAGTGTGCGAGACGTGAATTTATATTGTATTTATTTACAGAGGTATATTATGTCACACTTTACACTTCTCTAGTAAGTTTCGTCTGTGTGTGAAGACAGTAGCGCAAATCCGTGAATGAATGTTCCGAAGTGAAATAAACTTCAAAGGAATAAAGTTGAATGGAATTGAATTGAATTAAAGTTGAATAAACTTCAACTTTACTGTTCAGTGCACTGATGTCCGACTCATTTTGGATAATAAAGTTTATTGGTAAATTGTTAAATGCCCTGCCTCCATTACGTATCTTTGTCACGTCATTATAAGTGTTTGATCACCACATTTGAGTGATCATTGCAAACAATGTGTTTTATGTATATATATTCTGTTTATGTATATACTGTATTCTATATATAGTACCAGTCAAATGTTTGGACCCTCGAATGGGAAAGTGTCCAAACTTTTAACTGGTACTGTACGAAAATATACACAAAGAATATTGGCCGATATATCTATATCGGTATCGGTATCGGCCCCAAAAAACCCATATCAGTCGGGCTCTAGTACTTACATTTATGAATATGAAATTAAGATAATTAAAATTTATAATGTAATACTCTTTCCTTTTATTTGAGGGGATATTAGTAAAGCCAAATAAAACACGGTTTAAGCGTTAAGAAAAAGCGGGGTCAGCATTATCAATTACAAATCTAGTCAAATCTTTACAAAATTCTTTTACATAAGAGCAATGCTAAAATTAATTAAACAAAGTTTCTGTCAACATATCACAAAAGAACAATTCAAATCAATATAATTTTTTTAATTTAACAAGAAAATTATTTACTGGGTAGTATCTGTGTACAATTTTAAAAGTTACTTCCTTCACTTTGTGTACCAATAGGTATTTGTTTGGCAAAGTCCCAATGGCCTTCCATAATAAACCTTTAACCAGTCTCTTCCGATAAACAATACAGTTTGGAGTAGTGACAATGTCTTTTTTGAAGCATAGAGCAAATAGTTTTATTAACAGTTATAATTCCAGGGTCAAAACAAAGTTTCGCAATTGTAGTATTAAATAGATCAAATGCAGAAGGGGTGCAATACTTTTTTTGGGATTAGTTCTGAATAATGCCAAGACTCCTGTGGAAACTACATCCATGACAATAGAAACCTTTTTTGCTGTCACTGGAATACCATGGACAGTTAGAAACTCAGAATACGTGAGTAACATGCCTTCTTGATTTAATAACTGATTAACTTGTATTATGCATGCTGAAACCAATTTTTAAAAATAAAGATTTATTTTTATATAATATATTGTAATTGTTCCAAATTAGGTTCCTATCGGGAGAAAAGTTATGTTTATACAGTAGGGACCAAGCCAGCAACATTTGTTTGTGAAAACAGGATAAGTTCAAAGGAATTTGATCAATTTTGTAATTGCAAATCAAAAGAAACCTAAGACCACCTAATTTGGAAAAATTAAATTCGCACTGGAGCTTACTCTACAGCTACATCCAACGTCATCCACTGAAACGCCACTCTCGTGAACGTGCATACAACAATTAGCGGAAGCTAGAGATTATGCTTTATAAAGTTTTAAATATGAATATTTTTCTTACATCAAACGCAGTGTGGAGCACTTTTTATGATGGATGGATGGATGCTCTTTATTTTGCTTCAAAATCACCAATTAAATGGATAGTTCACCCAAAAATGAAAATTTGATGTTATCTGCTTACCCCCAGGGCATTCAAGATGTAGGTGACTTTGTTTCTTCAATAGAACACAAATGAAGATTTTTAACACAAACTGTTGCAGTCTGTCAGTCTTATAATAGAGGTGAATGGGAATCACGGCTTTGAGAGAGAAAAAAACATACACAAACAAAACCAAATTAAACTAAAAATTTTATGTTTCATGTATCATCACTTTAAAACTAAAATAAAAATAAATTTAAGCTAAAAAGAAATATGAAAAATGACAAAAGCAATTAACAAAATGATTAAAATTTTAACTAAAATATAAAAATAAAGATAATTGAAATATTAATAAATACTATAATATTATATAAACAATACCAGAATAAAATAGATTTATATATTCTAATGTATTTTCTTTTATATTATCATTATTATGCATGCAGTTTTTATGATTTAATATTAATTTAGATGATTATTTGATGTATAGAATATTTGCATTTTTACTTTTAAGAATTATTACTGTGCAATATTGCTTAAGTGTGTTATTTTATGTTTTTGTAGAATAAGGGAGGTCAGTTTTTCTGTTCCAGTTTTTTGTTAAATCAGCGCATGACAGATCAAGTCTGCAATATGTTTTATTCACATTCTCATGCATTCTTGTATAGGAAGTGTCTGACTTGGACACTAAAATCCAGGAGAAAGCCATGAAGGTTGATATGGACATCTGCAGGCGCATCGATATCACAGCCAAGCTTTGTGACGTGGCACAGCAGAGGAACTCAGAAGACATGAGCAAGATACTGCACGGCAGCCCATCCAGAGCTCCTCCTGAACAGAAAGGGGTACAGAAACTTTCACTCGCAACAGAATCTAATAATACCATCCATTCTACTGCAGCTGTGCTCCGGTAATGATGCATAGTTTCAGTACAACATTCAATAATGTGCTAATTTGGAGTACAGATTTGATTTGCATTACATGGAGTTTATATAACAGCTTATCATGCAATTCGAATCTTTCAGAAGGATATGTGTGTGTGTTGTAGGGAATGGCGGTATGCAGGAGGAAGGAGTATAAGGGTGAATCAGAGGAGCAGAGTGTGGAGACTGATGGTGATTCTGGTCAAAAGGAGGAGGATGTGCCTGGTTCTCTCAACATCACCGATGAGATGAAGAGGATGCTCAACCAGCTGTGAGTCCTCATAGCCATTAGAGGGCATCTTCTGGTGTGTGTGTGTGTGTGTGTGCGCGCGTTTATCAAGTCTGAAATATGTTTTATTCACATTCTCATGCATTCTTGTATATGAAGTGTCTGACTGGAAAACTAAAATCCAGGAGAAAGCCAATCCAAAAATAAATAAATAAATACTTTTTTTTTTACCACAAATATTGTACACAAACACAAAACTAAATATCAGCATTTTTGTTGTTGTTTAACAAATCTTGTGTATCACTGTAAGTGGGAAAAATGCTACAAAAGTCTATCAATATAATATAATATAATATAATATGCATGTTGTTAATTAAAACTGAAACAAATTTTTAAAAATGGTTTTCTGTAATTGAAATAAAGCTGAGAAAAAATATATAAATATTAGATTAAAACCATTAACCTAAATGAAAATTAGACTTGGTGACTAAGTGAAATAAATTAGTTTAAGTCAAAAGTAATACATTTACTAAAACCAACAGAAATAAAATATATATAAAATAGAAAGTAGAAAATATAAAAAAGTGACAAAACCACATAACTAAATTATTCAAATTTAAACAAAATTAAAATGAAAATAAAAAAAATAAAAGTCAATTCAAAATATTAATAAATGCTATAATAAATCTCTAAGAAATATTGGCTTGCTTGTTGTATGATCACTTACTGCCATCTAGTGTTCATATGGTGAACGTGCTCATTTTGTGTGCTGTATATTTTCCTATTTAAATAAGATATTTTATTATCTAATTGTTGTTTTTACTATTGACTCTTCTTACTTTCATAATCTCTTTAATAAAAGCTGGTTATTGGCATGTTTTCCTTGTTCATTATATTTATTCTTCCCTTATGTATATAGTCTTTTGTTTAAAATCTTTTAGATTGTGGATCTGTTGATTTTCCTTTTCTTTTCTTTTCTTCTCTTTGTGTCTCCTTTTCCCCCTCTCTTTACTCTTCCACATCTGTGTTTGCTGCCTGTCTTGTGCGCAGAGGTTGCTCAGCTAATTGGTTTGTTGGCAGGCGGGAAACGTTCGAGTTTGACGATGACTGCGACAGTCTGGCGTGGGAGGAGACGGGGGAGACGCTTCTGCTTTGGGAGGATTTCAGTAACTATAACAGTCTGAACCTCGCCACCACCGCAGCATCCTGCACATCTGACACTCATGGAGAGACACATGAGCAGGTACCACACCAAGTCACCCCTCTCCATTAGCAACCAAGTGCCAGAGGTATAAAATGTAAAGAAAAACATATTGTCTACATATGGCAACAATGCTCTGAGGAATTATTTTAAAGGAACTGAATACAGTAGGCAAAAATGCTGTTAATGCTCACTCACAAGCACCATGCAAAATACAGCTTGATATAAGTATGTTGCTAAGCGATAAACAATACAATACTTAATCATAAAAAAATCACACACATATATTGAATAAAATACTACCGTTAATTATCTCAATTTGATTTTCTGTTTTCTCTTGCTATTTTTTGATACATGTATTTTTAAATATTCAATTATAAATTAAAATATATACATAAATGTAATATAATTTTCACTATATTTAATTAGATATGCATTTTTATGTACTATTTGTAAGTGTATTTAAAATGCTTACAAAATAATTTTTTTTAATCCATCGACTTGTCACAGTCTATTTTAGGATCGTCTCAATGCTAGGTACACTAGCATTCAAAAGTTTGTGGTCAGTATATTTTTTCAGAAATAATGCTTTTATTAATTTATTAAAAATGGCAGTAAAGACATTTTAGAATTGTTATAATGTTACAAAAAGTTTCTATATCAAATAAATGCTGTTCTTTTAAACTTTCTATTCTTAAAAGAATCCTTAAATGTATCCCTGTTTTCACTCAAATATTAAGCAGCACTCTTTTAACATTGATAATAATAAGAAATGTTTCTTGAGCATCAAATCAGCATATTAGAATGATTTCTGAAAGATCATGTGACACTGAAGACTGCAGTAATGATGCTGAAAAATCAGCTTTGCCATCACAAGAATAAATTACATTTTAAAATATATTAAAATGGAAACAGTTATTTCAAATGGTAATAATATTTCACAATATGACTGTTTTTACTGTATTTTTAATCAAATAAATGCAGCCTTGATGAGCATGAGACTTTTTTTTAATACAAATTTTATTTTTGATTTTTGAGCAGTTCTTACTGGCTATAAAATTGAGAATGCATGTTGACTACATAAAATATTACATAATGCAATAATACATTCTGCATTTATATATTGTCCTGCCAGGATCGAAGTCTAGGAAGCCTCATAAATGAAACCGAGTCCCTCTTTAAGACCAGAGAGCAGGAGTACCAGGACACCATCGGTCAGATTGAGGTGAGAGAACATTTGTGAATAACATGTTTCAGCCAACATTAGTTTGTTTATGATTTAAACGCCATCTTCCTCCTGCAGCTGGAATTGGCCACAGCCAAGAATGACATGAACAGACACCTGCATGAGTACATGGAGATGTGCAGTATGAAGAGAGGGCTGGACGTACAGATGGAGACCTGCCGGAGGCTCATCCAAAGCACAGCCACCACCGGCAGGTTGGTTTGAACTGTCTATGTCATCTGCACTAACCAGTATGTTTCTACACAGAAGGTTTTTAATCATTTGTGCTCCTTTTTCCTTGCAGTCAATCGCCCTCCCTCAGCTCTGTGGCCAGCAGTGATTCAGGAAACACCGATGAAATCCAGGACGAGCTGGAGCCTGATGGAGCGAGAGATGGAGAGAAAGAAGGGGCGGAAGAGATGAATGGAGAGGTTAGATGATGATCAGCCCTTCATCATTCTGGATTCTCAGCTTCTTTGTGAACCAGTCACTCTTTTACGTGTCTGGTGACTTTTTCTTACACAAGTATTGGTGCTTTATATGCTGTCTTAGAGCAGGACTTGCGGTTCCCTCTTCATCAGCACTGCCAAGGCATGGCTCCATAGTCTTCCTCAAGCTTTAACTGAGGTCACACACTTTATAATATGATGAATACCATATATAATAATGCATACTAAAATATATAAATAATACAATATTTTATTATATAATATTATGGTTATTTATTAAATACACAATTTCTGCTATCTACGAATTTTGCTCATTTGTTAACATTAATCTGAAAGGCAAGTTACACAAACACAATCAGTTTAAATAACATTAAAACGCATTATAAAGGAAAGTATCTCTCTACATTGAGCTCTGGAATAAGTTCAGGCTTTTAACGTCACAATAGTCAATAGATCAGCCATGCAGTATGCTTCCCAAAAATATCTCTGCTCCGAGTCAGTTCAGATGTTTTCACCACATGCAGTTGTTGCCGAACTAAACCACTGTGCACTAAGATCTATGCAATAATCTGGACTGGACTGGCGTTGTATTCTGTGATTCTCTTTGCTGTGAGGTGATTCTCCTTAAGTGCAGTTTTTCCCTTGTTTCTTTGTATTGGCTCTTTCAGTGTTGGAGAGTAGCAGTAAAACCCAAACTCGTGTGCCTACAAATATGCTGTATACAGTGTCTTAGTTGCCTTATATTTTTCTCTGAATATTTTGAGGACATGCTTTTGCTCTGTTACTGTATACACCATTAAATCCTCAAACATATCCTATCCCTGATGAAGTCAAATTTATGTCTAAGATGTTAAATGGTGTGAAATAAGGTTTTGGATGATCTCAAAATTTGGAAGCCATACAGTAGCCTACATATATCTGTCCTCAGGTGTTGGGAGGTTTGGTCAAGCTGCAAAATAGCTACTGAAGATGTTGCTATTACTTTTAGTTCAATGTGTGGGTCATTCTCAGGAAAATATGCTGTTTGTGCTAAAGATTTTTTTTTACTTGTTTTGTTTCTAAAATAATAATATATTGGTTTACAAGTTACAATACCAATTATCAAAGTACTTATACTAACCCTAAAGCGCTACGTTATTTCAACCACATCACAATAAAACATTTAATTGATATACTTATAATAGAGAACTGAGTAGATTCTGTAGATTTAGTATCACTCAGTTTCATTGTGCCTTGAAATATATTTATAAAATAAAAAAATAACTAATAATAACATTTTGTCACAAAGAAAAAATGTCACATGGGAGTGCAAATTCTGCATTTCTCAGAAAATGCATGAGTCTTTGTAAAATACTACATAGTGAAAGCATGATTTGTAAATTTCTGTAAAACTTTCTCTTTATTTATTCCTTCCCTTTCTAGCTTGTACTTATTTGAACAATGCCTAAAAACATGGTATTACAAGCACTTCTTGTGTCTGTTTGCCTCTTTAAGAAGAATCGCTTTATGTATTCTCCAATTGTAAGTCGCTTTGGATAAAAGCGTCTGCTAAATGACTAAATGTAAATGTAGTCTAAACAAAAAGAAGATATTTTTTTTATTCAAAGTGTAATAGTGATAAATGGGACTAAAATTTCCAGGCATTTAATTAAAAAACAAGCATTTAAAATGAAAAATATTTTACTTAAAATTTTTTTTTTTTTTTACTATATTTTGCATTACAAACAGTCAAATTGGTTGATTGATGTGACTGAAGAGGCACACTGTGTCATCACTTCTTAAGAATGACCCACACTGTCCCCCTCACCAAAATATGTTTTTGACTTATTATTCAAGAGGTGGCCAGAAAAATAGAAATGATTATACATGATTTATTTATGTGTAATTCTGTTTTGAAACAAAATGGATGTTCATGTTATCATATTACTTGTTTTGTTAAATATATTTTTGTTACCTTCGTTTTTCAATCGATTAACATTATTATCGATTGTATTGATTGATTGATGAAAACAGTATCTGGGTGATTGAGGTTTGCTATTATTGTCTTTTTATTTAATGGAAATGAATCATTCCATATTTTACTATCTTATATATGGGTATTCAGATGTTATATGTTGATACAGTTTATGATTTAATATTACTTGCCTTAAATGTGGGTCATTCTAATAAAATGTATTAGTTTGTGCTGTATACTAAAGAAATCAGCTGACTTGTGCTGAAATCAGCATGTCTGAGAATGTCTGGAAATGAGAGTTTGTTTTTGGAAATTTAAGTAAAGGACTATGCAAGTCTTATGGAATTGTAGTCTGATTTTATGCTGGTTTTAAATAAAAAAAAGTTTGCTTTATCACTGTTCCATATTTTTCATAGATTTCACATGGACGTTTTGCATGATTAAGCAATTCTCACTTACTTTGCATGAATTTGCCTGTTGCTTTGGTACTGAGGTGTTCAACATAACTCTAGAGGACAAATGAAAACTTTGGTTATATTTAATAGGTCAAATTTCTGGGAAAGAACTTCTCAGTGGTTCAGCTGGTGGTACAGAAGTCACGTTTCTTGAGGAATACAGCTTAGTTTTGCAGATGAAGGCCATCATTACAGTGTCACATCCCCATAACAGCATAAAAGCAGCATAATTGTCATGTTTCTCCTGTTAGACAGCACAATATGGACACGTAATAAAATAATAGTTTGACCTCTAGAAGCATTACAAAAGCGTTACTTCGTTACACCAATTGGAGGCGATAAGCGAGTCTTTATAAACGAGTGAATCATTTACTCATTCGATTCTTCAAAAACACTTTCATTCAGGTTGCTGGTTGCAATGTGCTGGCTGTTGATAAAATAAAACATCTCACATTATGAATAAAATCTGTCCAAACATTTATGTTTTTAGCGTTATACATCCTTGAATCATTTGTAAATAAATTCATTCAGAAACGAAATAGTCACTGCATGCTGTGTTGCTCGGTAAGGCTGATCGGTTTGCAGTTTTTTTGGAGCAAAAATATAGAAAGTAACTTGCACTATTGGGTCTAAAATGTTAAAAGTTAATCAGCATTAATGTCTTGTTTACTGAACTCTTAAAAGAACAGTCTTGGCTTAACTGAATATGAGCATGGATGTGTAACAGCACTATTGCTGTTGTTGTTGATATTGCTTAAATACCTAATGAAGAGACATAAATATTAGTTACAATATACAGACTCCAGTATTTACAATTGCACTAGTCATTCAAACACCTAAACACTTTGGTAACAAATTTCAGGCAAATGCATCTCTCCGTGGTAATTACACGTAGCATGCAAATCCTTGCCACCAACAGAGTATGGAGAAACAGTGGGCTGGTGAGAAGAGAGTGTTTAAAAGCTCATATGTTTCTGAATAGCACATAACAGAGGTAGAATGGGTAAGATGCTGGTCTGGTTTGTGTTTCTCTGTCTCTTGAGCTATATTGACAGTGAAGGGCTCCACCTTCAAGGAGATTATATCATCTCTGGCTGGTTCCCTCTCCATAATTCAGATTCCACCATCCCACCGACACCTTACCTGACTGACTGCACAGTGCACACAGTAAGAATGATATGAAATCTGATATGTCATTTTATTGTACTTTGCATATTCCACTTGTCTGTGATCATGTCAGTGTTTTCTACAGGTATGTATTTTTGTATTTTTGATCAATGAAAACATGTATGGGGTCTTCCAAACAAACAGAGATTTATTATTATTTATCATACTTTGCAGAACACTGCTTGTCTTCATTTTGTTTCCAGAGGCTTGACCAATAAGCATGGCTATCATCTGGTGCAGGCCTTCAGATATGCCATGGATGAAATTAACAACAGCACCCAGAATAAGCAACTCCTTCCAGGGGTTACGCTGGGCTACCGGACATATGATTTATGCTCCCTCCCAGCCAGCAATCTGGCCACCCTGGATCTGCTGGCCCAACAGGACGACAGTTCATTTGTGGACAGCCGTGCTGTGGCCATCATCGGTCCTGACAGCAGTTCCTACTCTTTCACACCAGCCGCTGCTCTTGGTGCATTCCTGGTCCCTCAGGTATGGCATAATCACAACATGATTTATCACCATCAGGTTATCATCTAAATAATAAATTAGATTTTTAATAGCAGTTAGCCTACACTGTAATCAAACCAGGTTTTATGCGTATTTCAATAATTGCTGAGCAAAAAGATCCTCTATCAGCTTTCTTCCGCACCATTCCCAGTGACAAAAACCAAGTCAGCGCAATGATACAAATCCTCGTCAGATTTAACTGGACCTGGATCGCTCTTCTCGGTAGTGACAATTCATACGGTATACAGGGAATGCAAGGCTTATCCCAGCAAGCGTCGCTTTACGATTTATGTATTGCATACCAAGCCGTGATACCCGCTGTAACTGACAAGACGAAGCAATACATGCAAGACATGGTCAAAAACATCCTCAAAACCAAAGTCAACACTATAGTTGTCTTCGCCACTAAGAGGCGGGCCGCTGGCTTCTTTCCTTTTGTAATTGACCAAAATGTGACAGGAAAAGTGTGGATTGGGACAGAGGATTGGTCGGTGGTGTCAACAGTGAGTAGTATCTAGGGATCAGTATGATAGGGACTGTCCTCGGTGTCACAGTCCAATATACTGAATTCTGTGGTTTTGAAGATTTTGAAAGGCATTCTGTGCCCAGACTTAAAGACATTGGTCTCAACAGCCCATTCAGCCACAGTGTCCCATGTATGGAAAATACAAAGCTTTATGAAATAGCGATTCAAGGCTTTTCTATGTCACAGTATGACGATGTTTCCTCCTTTAACGTGTATAAGGCCGTGCACATGGTGGCTCATGCGCTGCACAACATCCTGCATTGTGACTCTGGACTGTGTCAGAAATATAACGTGCAGCCATGGGAGGTGAGTGCTTTCAGAGAAAAATCACTGAAATACTGTATTATAGCACATTTACAATTATTAATGAAATTACTGTCTTTGAATCCAACAGGTATTTCATCAGCTAAAACAAGTTCAGTTTTCAATTCGAAATACATTATTTTACTTTGATTAGAGACCCTCTTACAGGTTATGATATAGTGATGTGGGTATGGACGGACGGCCAGTGGTCACTTAAGGTGGTGGGAAATTACACTCCAGGTCCAACTGAACTTCAGTTAGATGCCTCTCTGATTAAATGGACAGGTCAAGTGACTCCT